CGTCACTCTCGAGGAGAGAGGCGGTCTCGTCTGAGCGCCACATGCCTCGCGGCGTAAGCGGACCAGTGATAGGTCAGCCCCCGTGAGTCGGGCGAATCGGCGGACCGAGTATTGTTGACAGCTGGCCCGTCCGGTTCGCTCGTGCCAGGCGGCCTGCGTCGGGCCTGGCATTAGCAAGATGACTAGCCGAATTGGTATCGCGCCGCGTACCGCGGCGTTCGTACGTCCGCGCTCGCTCCCATCCGTTGGGTGCGGGAGGCGCGGGTGTGCGCCAGCGCCCCCCCCGGACGAGAGAGAGCGAGGCCGCCCGCCGTCGGGAGAGAGCGAGGCGTGGCGGGCGGCCCGAGCAGACTCAGGCGGGCTCAGCCGAAGCGGGCGAGGGCGGCGTAGCGCTGGATGCCTCGCTGGAGGCTGGCGAGCCGCTCCTCGGACAGCCCCTCCGCCTGCAGCTCGAGCAGCTCGCGCTGCGCCTCCTCGAGCCGGCCGTACGTCTCTGTCAGCTCGCTCACGACCTGCGGAGGGGACGTGTCGGGGACGTGTCGGGTCCGTGTCGGGTCCGTGTCGGGGACGTGTCGGGGACGTGTCGGGGACGTGTCGGGGACGTGTCGGGGACGTGTCGGGGACGTGTCGGGGGAAGGGGAGGGTTGGGGGCACTCCCCGCTGGGTCCGCCACCTCCTTGGCGCTCGGACGCGTCTCCGCGCCGTTCTCGCCGCCGCCCTCGCCTCCCTCGCCTCCCTCGCCGTTGCCGCCGCTGCTGCCGTTGCCGACGGCGGCGCCGCCGCCGTTGCTGCTGCCGCGCCCGCTCCCGCCGGCCGCCTTTGAGCGCGCGAGCAGCTCCTCGATCTGGACAGCGAGGCCCTCCGCCTCGGCGGAGCGGGCGCGCAGGTGCGCGTCCCACTGCGCGTGCCACTGGCGCAGCCGCGCCGAGTCGGCGGCGGTGATGGCGCACACGGGGACAGAGCACTCGTGGTGCGGCCACACCACCGCGCCGCCGCGCTGCACGATGCTCACGTCAACCAGCCCGGGCAGCTCGGCGGGGTGCTTGCCCTTGGGGCGCAGCCCGGGCGCCGGAGCCCACTGCGGCGGGTGCTCGGGCAAATCGCGCGGCTCGCGCGCAACCACCAGCCCGCGCGGCAGCTGGCCGAGCCGGCCCAGCGCGCCGTCGGGCAGCGTGACGAAGCTCCCGGCGGCGGGCAGCCGGTGCTCGACAAAGGGCGACGGGCGGACGCGCCCGTCCTCTTGGTAGAGCACCGCGGCGACGGCGGCGTCGCGCACTACGATCTTGTAGTTGAGGGCGGTGCCTGCGGCGCGCGGGGGGGGAGGGCGCGCGGTGCGCCCGTGCTCGGGCGGAGGGAGCCGGGGAGGCGGGGA